CAGGAAAACAGTGTAAATACGTTGTCTACAGCTAGGAAAATAGTGTAAATACGTTGTCTACAGCCAGGAAAACAGTGTAAATACGTTGTCTACAGCTAGGAAAATAGTGTAAATACGTTGTCTACAGCCAGGAAAAGTGTAAATACGTTGTCTACAGCTAGGAAAATAGTGTAAATACGTTGTCTACAGCCAGGAAAATAGTGTAAATACGTTGTCTACAGCTAGGAAAATAGTGTAAATACGTTGTCTACAGCCAGGAAAAGTGTAAATACGTTGTCTACAGCTAGGAAAATAGTGTAAATACGTTGTCTACAGCCAGGAAAATAGTGTAAATACGTTGTCTACAGCTAGGAAAATAGTGTAAATACGTTGTCTACAGCCAGGAAAATAGTGTAAATACGATGTCTACAGCCAGGAAAAGTGTAAATACGTTGTCTACAGCCAGGAAAATAGTACAAATACGTTGTCTACAGCCAGGAAAATAGTGTAAATACGTTGTCTACACCCAGGAAAATAGTGTAAATACGTTGTCTACACCCAGGAAAATACTGTATAAATACGTTGTCTACACCCAGGAAAATACGGTGCAAATACATTGTTTACACCCAGGAAAATGGTGTAAATGCATTGTATACAGAAAGGAAAATACAGTGTAAATATATTGTCTGCAGCCAGGAAAATCTACCGATTTTATTTTCTACTGTCAGGAAAATAAATAATATAATCACAACCAGGAAAATAAACTGAATTTGTCTACAATCAGGAAAATAAAATAAATACATTGTCTTGTGTCAAGAAAATAAAATAAGCTACTCATTGATGCATGTGGGAGAATTATAATTATTGATGCATGTGGGAGAATTATAACTATTGAAGCATGTGGGAGAATTATAACTATTGAAGCATGTGGGAGAATTATAATTATTGAAGCATGTGGGAGAATTATAATTATTGAAGCATGTGGGAGAATTATAATTATTGATGCATGTGGGAGAATTATAATCATTGATGCATGTGGGAGAATTATAATCATTGATGCATGTGGGAGAATTATAATTATTGATGCATGTGGGAGAATTATAATCATTGATGCATGTGGGAGAATTATAATTATTGATGCATGTGGGAGAATTATAATTATTGATGCATGTGGGAGAATTATAATTATTGATGCATGTGGGAGAATTATAATTATTGATGCATGTGGGAGAATTATAATCATTGATGCATGTGGGAGAATTATAATCATTGATGCATGTGGGAGAATTATAATTATTGATACATGTGGGAGAATTATAATCATTGATGCATGTGGGAGAATTATAATTATTGATGCATGTGGGAGAATTATAATTATTGAGGCATGTGGGAGAATTATAATTATTGATGCATGTGGGAGAATTATAATTATTGATGCATGTGGGAGAATTATAATCATTGATGCATGTGGGAGAATTATAATTATTGATGCATGTGGGAGAATTATAATCATTGATGCATGTGGGAGAATTATAATCATTGATGCATGTGGGAGAATTATAATCATTGATGCATGTGGCAGTTTTGAAATAATCATCAATGATGCATATGGAAAAATTATCACCATTATTGATGCCTATGAGAGTACTGTTATAATCATTATCATTATTCTCTCGAGCATCATCATCGTAGGGAAGCGCTGAACCCGTAAGTCACACTGCGTCGGGGAAAGGATACGTCAGATCAACTACGATCGAAGGGAAGGGTCGGATCAAGAACCCTTACCCCCCTCCCCCCGCTCTACTAGATAATGTTCTAATTAAATTTTCTCTAATATATATATATATATATATATATATATATATATATATATATATATATATATATATATATATATATATATATATATATATATATATATGCCGAATAGAAAAAACTTGCGACTTTGGCTTAAATACCAACGCTCTTCTTGCCGAATATGGCAAACGAAAATTTGTATATGCAATAATTTCGCAAAAGTCATTCTGAACCTAACGAAAAAAATACATTTAATTGTGTTTGTTTATTATTAAATTACTGTAAACTTGTCTAAAATATATTTACTTGGATTAGGCTAAATTAAACTGCGCTTGTTATAATAAGGTTAGGTAAGTTTTCTAAGGCTCCTTTAGTACAAAATTATTAATTTTTACGTTAACATAAATGAAAAAAAATATATATTTAAATGTATAAGAGAAAATTTTTAGAAAGGCCTTAATTTGAAATGGTTGAATGTAGCCATAATGACCCTCGTGTAGTTAATAGACTTCAAGCCCCAATAACCAACCATCCTAACTTTTGGTGGAACAGGGAGAGCTCAGGTTGCTAGCCACATCTAACTAGTTACCGGAGAACTAGGAAAAAAGTTATTTTTGTAGTTTACTGTGACTCAGCATGCACGTGTCTACAATACTTTGTAATGGGCGAGAAATTTATATGGTTTTGCTGAAGCGCGGCTGGTCCTACCACAACACTACTGTGTTAGTTGACGGGGGGGTGTTAGATGCCTGGTCCTACCCCAACACTACTGTGTTAGTTGACGGGGGGGTGTTAGATGCCTGGTCCTACCACAACACTACTGTGTTAGTTGACGGGGGGGTGTTAGATGCCTGGTCCTACCACAACACTACTGTGTTAGTTGACGGGGGGGTGTTAGATGCCTGGTCCTACCCCAACACTACTGTGTTAGTTGACGGGGGGGTGTTAGATGCCTGGTCCTACCACAACACTACGTGTGTTAGTTGACGGGGGGTGTTAGATGCCTGGTCCTACCTCAACACTACTGTGTTAGTTGACGGGGGAGTGTTAGATGCCTGGTCCTACCCCAATACTACTGTGTTAGTTGACGGGGGAGTGTTAGATGCCTGGTCCTACCCCAATACTACTGTGTTAGTTGACGGGGGAGTGTTAGATGCCTGGTCCTACCCCAACACTACTGTGTTAGTTGACGGGGGAGTGTTAGATGCCTGGTCCTACCCCAACACTACTGTGTTAGTTGACGGGGGAGTGTTAGATGCCTGGTCCTACCCCAATACTACTGTGTTAGTTGACGGGGAGTGTTTAGATGCCTGGTCCTACCCCAACACTACTGTGTTAGTTGACGGGGGAGTGTTAGATGCCTGGTCCTACCCCAACACTACTGTGTTAGTTGACGGGGGAGTGTTAGATGCCTGGTCCTACCCCAACACTACTGTGTTAGTTGACGGGGGAGTGTTAGATGCCTGGTCCTACCCCAACACTACTGTGTTAGTTGACGGGGGAGTGTTAGATGCCTGGTCCTACCCCAACACTACTGTGTTAGTTGAGGGGGGAGTGTTAGATGCCTGGTCCTACCCCAACACTACTGTGTTAGTTGACGGGGGAGTGTTAGATGCCTGGTCCTACCCCCATACTACTGTGTAGTTGACGGGGGAGTGTTAGATGCCTGGTCCTACCCCAACACTACTGTGTTAGTTGACGGGGAGTGTTAGATGCCTGGTCCTACCCAACACTACTGTGTTAGTTGACGGGGGAGTGTTAGATGCCTGGTCCTACCCCAACACTACTGTTTTAGTTGACGGGGGAGTGTTAGATGCCTGGTCCTACCCAACACTACTGTGTTAATTGACGGGGAGTGTTAGATGCCTGGGTCCTACCCCAACACTACTGTGTTAGTTGACGGGGGAGTGTTAGATGCCTGGTCCTACCCCAACACTACTGTGTTAGTTGACGGGGGAGTGTTAGATGCCTGGTCCTGCCCCAACACTACTGTGTTAGTTGACGGGGGAGTGTTAGATGCCTGGTCCTGCCCCAACACTACTGTGTTAGTTGACGGGGGAGTGTTAGATGCCTGGTCCTGCCCCACCACTACTGTGTTAGTTGACGGGGGAGTGTTAGATGAGGAGACGGACAGTGTTAACTTTGGGAAGGGAGTGTGTTAACTTAGGGGAGGGAGTGTGTTAACTTAGGGGAGGGAGTATGTTAACTTAGGGGAGGGAGTGTGTTAACTTAGGGGAGGGAGTGTGTTAACTTGAGGGAGAGTGTTAACTTAGGAGAGGGAGAGTGTTAACCTAGGGGAGGGAGAGTGTTAATATAGGGGAGGGAGAGTATTAGCTTAGGGAAGGAGAGTGTTAGCTTAGAGGAGGGAGAGTGTTAGCTTAGGGGAGGGAGTGTGTTAACTTAGGGGAGGGAGAGTGTTAAGTTAGGGGAGGGAGAGTGTTAAGTTAGGGGAGGGAGTGTGTTAACTTAGGGGAGGGAGTATGTTAACTTAGGGGAGTGTGTTAACTTAGGGGAAAAGGTGTATTAGCTTAGGGGAGGAAGTGTGTTAACTTAGGGGAGGGAGAGTGTTAAGTTAGGGGAGGGAGTATGTTAACTTAGGGGAGGGAGTATGTTAACTTAGGGGAGAAGGTGTATTAACTTAGGGGAGGAAGTCTGTTAACTTAGGGGAGGGAGTGTGTTAACTTAGGGGAGGGAGAGTGTTAACTTAGAGGGAGTGTGTTAACTTGGGGAGAGAGTGTATTAACTTAGGGGAGGGAGTGTGTTAACTTAGAAGAGGGAGAGTGCTAACTTAGGGGAGAGAGTGTATTAACTTAAGGGAGGGAGTGTGTTAACTTAAGGGAGGGAGAGTGTTAACTTAGGAGAGGGAGAATGTAACCTAGGGGAGGGAGAGTGTTAACTTAGGGGAGGGAGAGTATTAGCTTAGGGAAGGGAGAGTGTTAGCTTAGAGGAAGGAAAGTGTGGAAGCTTAAGGAAAGGTGGTGTTAGTCAAAAGAAGTGTTAGTTTAAGAAAGTGGTGCTACTTTAAAGGGAGTGTTAGTTTAAGGGGAGGTGTTAGTTTAAGGGGGGGGGGAAGTGTTAGTGAATGTAAAAAGTATTAGTTTACGGGGAAGCGTTAGTCTTTGTAGAAAGTATTAGTTTACGGGTGAAGTGTTAGTTTACGGGGTGGAGGTGTAAACTGACGGGTGCGTGTTAATGTCAGTACACAGACAACAACATGACTGTACCTTAATGTTTGTAGTGATGAGTGCGGTAGCGGCGCTCTACACTACCTCCCGCAGCGCTCACAACCACAAATCTCCGCTAAATTCACTTTGTAATAAGTCTTGAGGTCAGCAATATTTCTCAGAGCAATTATCTCAGCTTAACAACACAAGCTTGCTTCACCAAATCTTCTTCCCGCGTAAAACGTGATTTTTTTTTCGCGCGCTTTTGATTTTTTTTTAAGCGGGCCGGTCAAGTGCGCACTAAACCCACGTGGACACACACAGTGTACTCATCGCTCACCGCCACCCACAGCCTCTCTGATCCCCAGGGAACGATGCTAAACCTTACGTCCCGTCCACACACACTAAATGAGTTCTCCTCGACCGCTATTTACCGTCTCTCACACACCATATATCGACGGCCAACTCGCCCCTCGTGTGTTGCCTTCACACAGCTCTTCCTCTCGTCTCCTCGCCGTCATTCAGTACCAGTGTTGATGCTACTCAAGCGCGCAGTCTTGAATTGCCGAAGCAATGCAAAGTGTGGAAATAATTACGTGAGATATGAGAATATAAGTATGATTGTGGAATTGAGTAAGTGGTGAGGGCTGGCAAGTATGGAAGGTGGCGAGTGTCGCCCCTCGGGCCGCCGCCAGCCAATTAGAACGCTTCACTGCCAGTAATGAACCAATAAAATCACGCTTCACTTCAGCGGCCGTGACGTCACGGAGCAGCAATGGCGCGCACTGGCCGAGAGGAGAAATCTGGAGGCTGACGGCATCTGGCCCCTCCACAGATATTTCTCTCCTGGTGGCGGCTTATTTGTGTTGTCGCTACACCTCACAGAATTTGAATGTATTTCAACTGTCATTCTGAACTGCCGAAGGGGGATGTACAAGCCAGCCCTAAGACCATGACCACTTAAACGAGTACTTGAATATCCAGTTACATCATCAAATCTTCTTAAGATGTCCACTACAGACTTCACAGTCAAGCATTGGACCGCAAACCGAAATCGAAGCATCTTTCGCACTCCTGGTTTTGTGATTAGCCACTTAGCGCATACATCATTAAGTACGTAATTTGATAAGGGCGCGTAAGTGAACTTGGGCAATACCACGTAAGAGGTTTTCAGGGGCATTGCGCTCTAAAATTTTCCTTTCTGAGCGCACAATGAGCGCGGACGCTCGCATGATACGCTCCAAATTAAGTGTGTAAAGTCAAGGGTCAGAGGTAAATCAGATGTTTACACCTGATCAGCAGCATTAGTTACAGAGTCCCTTTAACTGCTGCGGGAGTTAATGTTCTCTTATTGGGCTTTCCTGAGTGCTAGAAGTATTGTTTAGTTAGGCGTGCGTATGTTTACATGCATGTGCGTGCTTATGTCAAGGCGTGTGTGCGTCAAGGCGTATGAGTGAATGGGCAGGCGTATGTCATGGCGTGTGGCAAAACGTGTGCAAGGCCAGGCGCGCGCGCGCGTGCGTGTGTGTGTGTGTGTGTGTGTGTGTGTGTGTGTGTGTACTCACCTATTTGTACTCACCTATTTGTGGTTGCAGGGGTCGAGTCCTAGCTCCTGTGTGTGTGTGTGTGTGTGTGTGTGTGTGTGTGTGTGTGTTAAGGAGTGTCGCTGAATAACAAGGCGTGTGGGTGTATAGACGGACGTGTGTATGCCAAGGCCTGTAGATAAGTGGTCAAACGTGTAGGTGTATAGCGAAGCGCGTGCGAGTTTATGTCAAGGCATGTGGGTGAAACTCAAGGCGTGTATATATCAACACGTGTGTGCGTTCGTAGCAAGGCATGTGCATGTCAAGACGTGTGATATGGATGATTCATACGAATTTTAGCGTTTTCCCTTGAATATCCTGTTATTATTATCTCTACCACTCCTACTACTACTACTATTACTACTAGTAATACTACTACTACCTACTAACTAAATGAAAGTCCTTCGCTGCACGATCCGAGAAAGGTATACCAGTATTACATAACCCCAGCCCCCTCCCCCTGTGCCTCTACGCTCGAGACAACAACAGTACAGAGTGAGGCTTAGCTTTCTAACGCAGTTAAATATTAGCGTTGAAGAGTTGAAACGCCCTAAAAGGGGCATCCACAGGTTATCAAAAGCCGCATATAGAAAAAACTTTATGACAACATTTCGGTCCGACTTGAACCTGGACCGAAGCGTCGTCCAGGTTGTTTGTGTATTGTTCCAGTCATGATACTGTGTCTTCGTGTTCTTTAACAGTCTTGAAATCAAGCGAACGAGGCATTCTTTTGTAATCTCAGAGACTCACATTCTTTACTATACCAGCATATTTAATTTGAAGCAGATCAGAAGTTGCATTGCCGAGTTATCAGGGTTGAAGGACGGAAAATGATGGGACGAGGCACTCAGAAATAGTGGCAACGAAACCAGTATTTCAATTTTTCTCAGTATTTCAATTTTTCTCCAATTAAAAAATGCAGACTGGGACGCACACAAGCTAAAATCAATCCAAGTTTTTTAAACTCGAAGACTGACCAACGTTTAAGGTTTTAGTAAGTATACATATAAGTAACTATTCGGGTTTTATTTAAGTTTTATGGTATATGCTGGACTTGTTTGACTGGTAATATAGAGTCCAGTGACTTCCTGGTAGTTCAGGACTGCTTTCTGAAGCAGTATGTAACAGGTTACCAGACGTAATAGTTTGCTCGACCTGGTATTGACAAATAAAAAAAAAGCCTGTTTTGCAATGGTCTTGAGGCCACACAAATGTTACCTGGAGAGAGTTCCGGGGGTCAACGCCCCCGCGGCCCAGTCTGTGACCAGGTGTTATGCGGACGTAGAAGTACAGTATGTAGATTTAACCTAGGATTGCCCTGTAAAGTCAAACACTGTGACTTATTACTCACCAGAAGAAACACTCCAGTTATTTCACACAAAACAATTTGTTGAATAAAATTGGTACGGTGTAACTTCTACAACTTAAAGGAGAAGTTTCATTTAAGGAAAACACATTAGCATTAAAAGTTTAAAGTCGATCTGATGAGGCATTCTCCAGTAATTGCTCAGGATGCAACAAATTTTGCTCCTACATAGCCTATATCCCCCCTTCATTTCATAAGATGCATCAGTAATTAAAGATTGATGCTGTTCCGAACTGTTTTGTTATTAGGAGAAGCGCTAAACCTGTGGGGATCATATAGCGACTGGAGAATGAGAGACATTCAGATTCGATTCAAGGAGGGGGAGGATAAGTTCAGCTCCTTGGATCAAAAGCCCCTCGCCAGAATCAAGGGACCTTCATTCCACCTGGAGTCTACCTGGAGGATATTCTGGGGATCAACGTATCCTCGGCCCCGTCCATGACTAGGCGTCCCGGTGGATCAGGGCCTGATCAACGAGGCTGTTATTGCTGGCCGTACGTGGTCCAACGTACGATCCACAGCCCGGCTGATGCGGTACTGACTTCAGGTATCTGTCCAGGTCTCTCTTGAAGGTAACCAGGGATCTATTGGTAATTTCCCTTATGTTTGGTGGGAGGCTGTTGAACAGTCTTGGGCCCCGGACACTTATTGTGTTTTCTCTTAATGTACTAATGGCGCCCCTACTTTTCACTGGGGGTATGTTGCATCGCCTGCCCAGTCTTTTACTTTCGTAGGGAGTGATTTCTGTGTGCAGATTAGGAACCTGTCCCTCTAGGATTTTTCAGGTGTAGCTTATGTATCTCGCCTGCGCTCCAGTGAGTACAAGTCAAGTGCTTCCAAGCGTTCATAGTAGTTAAGGTGTTTAATGGAATTTATATGTGCAGTAAAGGTTCTCTGTACATTCTCGAGATCTGCAATTTCACCTGCTTTGAATGGAGATGTTAATGTACAATAATATTTCAGCCTAGAGAGAACAAGTGATTTAGAAAAGGATCATCATTGGCTTGGTATCTCTTGTCTTGAATGTTCTCATTATCCATTCTATCATTTTCCTCGCAATTGTGATAGTGGTAATTGTGATCCTTGAAGGTGAGATCCTCAGATATTACCACTCCCAGGTCCTTCACATTACTTTTCCGCTTTACTGTGTGATTGGAGTTTATAGTATACTCAGTCCAACCTATTATTTCCTCCAATTTCCCACAACGGAGAAGTTGGAATTTGTCTTCATTGTACATCATATTGTTCTCCTTTGCCCATTGGAAAACTTGGGTTATATCTTTTTGGAGATTTGCCATGTCCTCAGTGGATGGCTCTCATGCAGATCCTAGTATCGTCTGGAAAGGATGATACGGGTTTACATTTCTGTCCATGTCTGATATAAGGATGAGGAACAGGATAGGGGCGAGTACTGTGCCTAGTTCAACAGAGCTCTTCACTATGGCAGCTTCTGATTTAACTGTTTACCACTACTCTTTTGTGTTCGAATGGTTAAAAAGTTGAAGATTCATCTGCCTACTTTGCCAGTTATTCCTTTAGCACGCATTTTGTGCGCTATTACACCATGATCGCACTTGTCAAAGACTTTTACAAAATCTGTGTATACTACATCTGCATTCTGTTTGTTTTCCAGTGCATCCAAGACCCTATCATAGTGGTCCAGTAGTTGCTAGAGGCAGGAGCGACCTGCTCTGAAGCCATGTTGCCTTGGATTGTGAAATTGTTAGGAGTCCAAGTGGTATGCAGTCATGCTTTTTAGAACTCTTGCAAAGATTTTTATGATGTGGGAGGTTAAGGCCATTGGTCTATACAGTTCTAAGGTATTGCTTTACTACCACCTTTATGGAGTGGGGCTATATCCGTTGTTTTTAGTGATTGGAATCTCACCTGTGTGTGCTCCTTCTCCATAGCATACTTAGAGCCCGCGAGAGAGGTTTCTTGCAGTTCATAATGAACACAGAGTTCCACGAGTCTGGGCCCGGGGCTGAGTGCATGGGCATGTTGTCAATGGTTTTCTCAAAGTGTAGTAGAGTTAGGGTTATGTCAGAAATTTGGCATACACTGACAGGGTTTTGAGGCTCATTCATGAAAAAATTATTTGGATTGTCTGTCTTTAGATTGATGAGTGGCTCGCTGAACACAGTCATATTGAGATTTCAGTATCTCACTCATTTCTTAGTTGTCACTAGGAGTGGTTTTTGCCTTGTTTTTGGCATGTGAAAAGAAATATTTCGAATTTCTTTCAATTTCACTAAGTGCTTTTAGCTCCTCTTGTCTCTCCTGGATCCTGTATGAGTCCTTTAACTTAAGCTCATTACTTTCCACTTCCCTGGTTAGTGCTTCCTTCCGTGTTTCAGATAATCTGGCATTCTTGAGGAGCTCAGTGATTCTTCGCCTTCTTCTGTAGAGTGAGCGTCTCTCTTTCCAGTTTACTTCTCTTCTTTTTTCTTATGGGAATATACCTTGAACATACTTCAGCTACCAAAAAGTTGATCTTTTCAAGGCACTGGTTAGGGTCCACGTTATTTAAAATATTTTCCCAATATGTGTCATTTAGGACATGGTTTACCTGGTCCCAGTTGATGTTCTTGTTGTTGAAGTTGAATTTGGTAAAGGTACCCTCATAGATGTATTCATTT